AGCTTCTTGCTCCTAGTAGTAATGCCAGGAGCTACTAGTAGCTTCTTTTTTTTAGTAGCGATGCCCTTTGTTACTAGTAGCTTGTTGCTCCTAGTAGTAATGTCAGAATGTACTAGTAGCTTCTTGTTCGTAGTAGCGATGCCCTTTGTTACTAGTAGCTTCTTGTTCGTAGTAGCGATGCCCTTTGTTACTATTAGTAGCTTCTTGCTCCTAGTAGTAATGTCAGAATGTACTAGTAGCTTCTTGCTCTACATCCAAGAGGTCCGAAAACTCTGTCCTTTCAAAATTGACGCCGCCAGTCCCTTCTCGCACAAGAGCCCGGTGGCCCGTGGGAGGGTGCTACCCAGCAGGGTGAGTACCTGAGGTAGATGTCCCTAGGGCCTCGGGTTGTGAACTTCAGCTTTCAGTGTACATGGACTTTTAACAGATGATGGCTGCACCATGCTGCACCTAACCCCCCCCAACTGATTTAGTATAAGGGAATCTGGAGTTTGCAAGGTGTTGGAAGTCATGCACCAGCCCCGATGAAGCATCTCGCCGCTCAGAAACGGTCTTTGTGCAAGGTGTGTAGGAGTTCCTAGCTCAGCAGTTACGCTTTTCAAGTTTGGGACCCAATGTGCTCCTGCAGGTTGTTTGTCAGAAACAATCGTATAAAATTCCCACATTAGTCCCGTGCTCTATTTCCATGAATGGCTAACAGAGGTCATGTTCGACCTTGAATATATAATGAACCATCCCCTCCTAGCAAACAACTGAAGGAGAGTGAAGAGAGCCAAGGTGAAGGTGGTGGTGCTGCTGGTGGTGGTGGTGGTTGCGGCGGCAGCGGCGGTGGTAGGAGGACAAGACACAAGTAAAGCAATAGACACACACACGTGATTAATCATGATTGAAGTAACACACGCTGGGGGAAAAAATGAGAACCACAATGATTTGCAATGTTACATGAAAACATGTGTCACTATTCCCTCCCCTGTGACCATTAATTTAGGATCCAACATTATCCTTTTCTTGGCTCACAATAGGCCTGAGCCAAGCTGAGAGCTGCCACTGACCTCTCCCAATATTGGGCTGCCCACAGAAAAGACAGTAAGTTTGGTATCTAAGATGCCATCATTTGAGCGTTTCCATTGAAAAAGCACGAGACGTTTTGGCCGCTTGCGGGACCGCCGGATCCCGGACCACACGACGGACCGACGGAGGCCCGGGCTACACGCCGATGAGCAGCCAGTGCCCGGCGTCGAAGGGCGGATGGAACAAAGAAACACCTCTCCCTACATCTCTCTACAGGTCACTTGGACCTCATGTTCCTGGAGTTGATCATACACGAAACACTAATCAATGAAGCAAAGGACCCCGGTTTCGCTGGGTCGGACTGGGGTCGGACTGTGGGCCTGGTACTTGGGTCAAACAAAGACGTGGGACAGACAGGGTTGCCACTGACAGTGGACAGACAGGAGTACCGCTGCGATACTATGGTGTATGCCACAGGATGGATGTGTCTTTTGGTCTTTTGGATCCACTGCTTTGAAAGTCCTACCCCTGCAGTGAAAGTGGATCAATTCAATCGCTTGCGCGCCGTGACCGAAGATACATTCGAGCGCCGGTCATGGAAGTGGAGCTGGGAACGAACACCCGTCATGTCATCGGGAACCTCCTCCGAACTCGTTCTGCTTAGAACGACGTTTTGACAGAAAGACCCCCAGGATGACTAGAGAAATCGGGTATGACTCGCGCGGACTTGTACGTATGGCCACTGTATGCCAAAGAAGGCAGTTCTGAGTCAGAAGAGAGAAGAAGACTCGGACCTTTGCATTTAGAATAGTTGAACATATTGCTGCCTCTAGATATTGTATTTATGAGGGGGTATACCGCGTATACCTGCCTCTCGAATATTTAATTTGTCATATTTCGTCCTACACCCAGATGCTTTCCATGGTGTTGTTCTTTTTGATGGGCCGCACTCACCAGGTACGGTGCAGGCACGCCCACGTCGAGGTGCGGGTCGTCTTTGTGGGAAACGGTGCTGTGCTCCTCCAAAAACCACTATCCCATGTAGAGCAAGAGTGTTTGTTTCTATGTTCAACACATTTCAACAGCCAGCTCAGTGGGCAGTTGACCACCCTACCCAGTCAGTGGAGAACCCTTTAACATGTTTGTTGGGGAATTGGCTGCTTCCCGACTCAGGTCCAACAGGTTGCACGTCTGCTCAACTGGTTAACCTGTATTTTCCAGCAACACGGAGGGGCTCAATGGACGGTCCAGGGGTTAATGGACGGTCGTGTTCTTGCCTGCTCGGTTGCTGAGCAGAAGCCACGTTTCGGGGTCTTTTGGAGGAGATGTCCTCAAGCAACCACCCCAAGCCATCTAAAGAACCATGTTCATTACAGTATTTGGACACTTCTTGTTAATTTGTTCTTCAACTTCTTGGGTTGTCACAAGAGGTCGAGCCAAGAAGATTCATCAAGTGGTGCTTAGATCCTGTTGAAATGTACTCCCAAGTCATCCCAAACAGAAACATGTCCCGAAACTTCCTGGAGTGGATTGACAGTAGATGATGTAGATGGCACGATCCCCAATGTCAGTGGCTTTAGAGATGCTTATTCCCTTCTCTCAAACGACCTCCCAAGAACCATATATGAGGGGGGAATCATCTCTAAACCAATAAATATCACCTTATGTTCGATATCTCTAAACCAATAAGTTCGATATAGGGTCAGGTTCTTCCTTTATTCCATTGAACATCATTGAACCATATATCGAACCTCTGAAACCAATCACCCACCCACCCTGTCGCGACCCATGCTCCGGGGCCTGTTTTCGCTTCACCCGGGGCGGAGCAGTCGGATGCTCCGGGCTAATCCAGGTTTGGCGCCACACCCGGCCCAGGAGACGGTGGGGGCGGCAAGGAGGGGAAGAGACCAGAAAGCATGCTTTGCTGCCGATATGATTCTGAATGTTGAAGGTTTACATTGAGTGAGACCAGTTTGATAGTAGATGATAGTAGGCATTTTTCTTTAGACAAGATCGCAAGGCATGCAGACTGCTTGATAGACGTGTCTTGACCCCTTTGTTCTGAGAAGTGCTGATAGATTTGCTCTCTCCCTCCAAGATGCCGTGGCCGGTCACCTCACCTCGCTTTTGCACCTCACCGAGCCTTTCTCCGAACCACACCGTGGACCCGGAACCGCTGGTCCTCGGAACCGGTGGCCGGAACCGTGGTCCTTTGGAGAGTCTCATGAAGTGCGAAAGAAGGCGATGAGTCAGGGCTTCGAAAAGCCAATCATTTGGAGCTGATGTGTTTTTAGGATTGCAAAGCTGTAGGCTGGATGAAGGGGAGGAAGGACAGTGTCAGGTCTTGGGTTTTTGGGATGGTTTGCAAGAGAAGCAGAGACCGGGTAATTGTCCGATGCGACGTCAGCTAGCCAATAAACCTAATAGCAGGATACCAGATCCATGCTGATCCACTAATAGCACGATGCTTCGGTGCAGGTCTGCAGGGCTCCCTGATCACACACAAAGGGCTCCCTGTCCACCAAACACCCTTCATCAGGTGCATGGTTTGTAGAGACAAAAGGAATTCTCATGGACTTGCCATGGACCAATGAACCTGGGTATATAAATCCATCTGGACCATCATGGACCGATGTTTCCACATGCACCTGGCCTTTTTGTTTTGGAGCCGACTGGAAATTCCAGATTCACGAGACCACTGAGACTGGAGGGACAAACCGGTCTTTCGTTGAAACGGCGGGTTGAAACGGGACTCGTCGTGTGTGTAGCTCCGAGGAGGCTACTCGCCCTCGATCGCGCCTGCTTGGGCACTCGGATCAACCGGTGGGCATCTGTCGTGAAGCTATATGAACCAGTGGATTCAGATAGAAGTATACGGATACCTACATGGAATTCCCGGGATTACATACATCAGCTTAGGGAATCTTAATGAATCTTAGGATGTTTTCAGATCAGAAGTTCCATGGATCGGCTTTGCTGGGCAGACCTGGCAAGACCTGCAGCTGCAGCTGCATGCAGCCTTAGGTTACATAATGACATCCAAGCTGCAGTCCTGAGCCACTTCAAAAGTCCGGTCCCGTTGTTTCACGTCACATCCTTGACTTCATAAATGGAACCAAGGAGTGGGCACTGAGAGAGTGTCAGACCATCAGTATCCCTGTGTGATCCCCAACATTCCCCAAGAAAACATCCAATACATCTACAGTACACATCAGTACACTAGCTAGTATATAACTCTTCTAGCTCCACCATCCCACAACACATTGAGGTTTGGACAAAATCGACAAAATCTATGGTTTGGGTTGACCCCACCTGGCCGGTTCGGAAAGAGGAAGGGGAGCAGACCCTGACCATTCGGACCCTGGGTCGCCAGAGATGTCCATCTCCCTTTCTTGGTCGTGTTGTTTGTGAATGACTACCACTCGATCGTTCACTGTCCAAGGCAAGCCTGGCTCCCAGCGGGATGAGTGAAGAGGGCGCAAGCCCCATCATCCAGGACGCCGGGACATGGGGTGGGCACTCTACGATCCCCTCGTGCCCCTTGGTGTTGAACAACAGAATGAGTCGTACGGATCCAGATGCTACGGATGAGATGTTCTTGCTGTTGACCCAGACACTCCATGTATGCAATATATTCACGGATCCTCATGATGGATTGCAAATACATGTGACATATTTTTATACATACATTTCGACCCTTCACTTGTGGAATCCTCAATATGATTCAATATGGATAAAATCCATCCTACGCTGGCCACAAGTGCAAGATGAGCCCACAGGCCCAACGTATGGAATCCTATGAAGTGCTTGGGTTGGGGAATGAATCCCGCGGGGTGCTGTGCGGCGGTTTGCTTCCAGGAGCATGCTGGGCCAGACATAGGCCGAACTGGCCAGTGGAGATGGGGAACTGGCCAAACAAGACATACATGAGCCAGACGCTCCATGTAATTTGGTGACATGTTTCCTAGCTTCACTTCCATGACAGTAAGCTGGAGCCTGCTTCAATTTGCAAGGGAAATCTCTGCTGGTGCCAGTCGTTCGACTTGTTTCAAGCCTCGTCCTTCACCGAAACACGGCAGCTTTTCTGAACCGCCACCGGAGGCAGCAAGACCAATGGGTCGTAATGGGTCGTAATGGGTCGTAATGTGTCGTACAATGGTCTTCAGATGTCTTCAGCATGACCTTGGTGGTTGATGTATTTAGAGGGGATACCCAGTCTTTGTACAAGCAATATATAGGTATATTTGGTATCAAACTGACCCCTGTCTAATGTTCCTCCAATCTACCGCGGCTTGTTGGTCCTGTCGAAGCACATCGAACCTTGCAAGCGTTTTAGGGAGTTTCTGGTGTCAATGCCTTCTCAAATGTAAAGGCTTCAGGCCCGTATCAATCAACAGCCACAGTTGTATCTGAGAGTTCACAACTTTCCTTTCCGCTCTAAGTGGAAGTGTATTCGCCACTCCCAGAGATAAACCAACGTTCTGGAGGGTCTAGCTGGATGGCCCTTCTGTTTTTTTCACCACAAACCCAGGAAACGGATGTTCCAAAGCAAAGCTGTGAACGCATGATGTGTTCATTTGATAGGCCCACCTGTGCTGTAAGTAAAGACACCAAACAAGAGGTTGAATTTCTGATTTCTGAGATACTCGTTTTGCAACAAAACCAAAGCTATCCGAGCTGCCACAACAAAGACATTAGGGGAAATGTGACGGTAGTATACGGTAGTATATTACTCTTTTAAGGTACTCCAAGATGAATTGATTGTAACGGTGAATAACGCTTCTTTGATCTTAGATTCTTTCTTATCAACCACCAATATGTATAGGTGTTCGTTCCCCCCAAACAATCTCACCTCAGATCTTCGACCGACCTCACCTGGTCCCTCCTGGCATCTTTTCCCGCCTCAGCCCTTTTTGGTGCTGAATCGCCCAGCTACACGCCACAAGACGGTGAGGCCGGGAGCCGGGAGGAGAAGCGAGGCCTCTACAAATCAAAGTACACTCTGACTCAACATGGAAGTGGAAAATGGGCCCAGAATGGGCCTCTGGGCTGCTTTCCACTTCTATCTTACAAAGTCGGAGTGTACAATTAAACCTGATGGATACTGATGGATCTTTTAATCTTTGGTTTAAGCTTAAGTGGCAACCAAAAGCATTTCCCATCTTGTCTTCATGTATGCCTGCCTTCCGTGTTTGCTGGCAATACACACAGACGTCCAACCCCACAATTGAGGAGCTTTCTTTGATGCTTTATATATCCAATTGTGTGGCTACAGAAAGAGAATGGACACCGAATGGAGCCCGGGAGGCCCCCTTTTAAGCAACAGATGACCTTCACCTTGGGTGGAAGCTGAAAACAACTTCCAGGTCGTCAGGCCTTGGGTCTTTGAGGAGCTCATGCTTTGGAGTTACACAAAAACTGCTCCGGGCCGGCTTTGGGGCTCTGGATCCACGTAGCTTGCCCTTTTTGTGCACCGTAGTAATGAACAAGAGTGTATAGAGATGTATAGAGTGAGGCATTGAGCCCCAAAATTTCAGAGAAACAGATCGCTTCTAGAAGGCTGGACAGAACGTACATGGTAGAACAGATATACTAGGGAAAAAGCATGAACAAACTGGCAAAACACATATGAAGCTTCTATGTTCGAATGTCTCTTCACTTCGGGTGCCTCCAAGTCCCCTGGTTTTTTGGTCTGGCCCCGCCGCCAGGGGCCCGCCGCGCCGGCACCCTCTGCGGTCTTCTCGGCCGTCTCCGACGTGCGAGCGGAGGTGGGCTCTTCTGAAAGCGCCGCAGCAGAGAGAATGTAGAACGACAGTCTGCAGGAAACCCGTAGGCTTTGAGGTGTGAAAACTGACAACCTATGGGAAACTTGTAGATGTTCTCTCAAACCAATCCTGATTTAAAGACGGATTTGACTCGCTTTTGTTTCAAGACTTGTTACACCCTCAGTTCGCCAGGGTTTTGGCCCATGTGTTGGGACCTAAAACATGTGCCAAAGCCCGCAAAGCGTCCATGAGATCCATCGGTTTCTCCCTCTTCAACTCCCTGCAAGGTCATGCAGGGACTAGTGACGTAGTGGGCCGGCAACTTCTCATCCAAGTTCCACTTTGTTGGACCCCAACAAAGACGCCAAAAACACGGCGCAGCTTTCTGCAAATTTCGATGACTGAACCATACTGAACCCTAAAACCCTTCTCCGCTTCCAAAGTCATGAACCCTTTCAGCCGTGCATTTGCTCTTCGTCGCCGAACAATGATTCCCCCCAAAATGTCGTGGAACGGCGGCGGTGGAACACCCTTCGATGACGCCCCGCTGCACCCGGCGCCGAATGGGTTGCTGTCAGGACGTGGCCTTCGATGAGGAGGTGGGCGAGTCACGAACGTGCCGAGGGTTCGAAGGAGTGCTCAACCCACGGCCTCAAGTGGATCAAAGTGGATCAAAATGGGTAGGGTTGACTCCAAGATGTTCACCTCACTGAAAATCGCTGGAACACCATTTTCACCTTTTTGTGATGGTGACTTCTTCCCCAAAGATGGGGTCTTTTGCTTCGGCCGTCGTCCGTGCCACCCGGTTGGACGGTTGCGGTCATTTGCGACCCCTCGGTGGCCACGCGACCTGTTTCCACGCATGGCCAGGAGATGTTTGGACGAGAAGGGGCAGCGCCACGAGGATTAAAGCGCGTTGAGTTAGGAGAAGGCTGTCCATATAGACGACTCAGTCAAAGCTCCCGAACACTGATGCACAGTGGCGGCGCTTGAGCAGTGTGCAGCAATGCGTATGCAGTGGAGACGAGTGGAGGCTTGTGGAAGACGAGTTTGAGCCGATGAGAGCTGCATCTCACTGAGTGGAAGACGTCTCATTGAGTGGAAGATGTATATACTCATGATATCTCATATGAGATGTACTCATTGGGTGGGATGAGATGACATCTCTCAAGGAGATGATCGAGGTTGGTGTCGTCACCTGCATGTGGCCAGAATGAGGCCTGTGGCCTTGGAACACTGAGGCCGCTGAGTGGGATATTTGAGTGCGGTATATTCCCAGTGCGGCAATGTGCAGCATTGGATCATTGAAGGCCCCTCTCTCTGAAGATCTCCGAAGTGTTTCTGAACCTGAGGGTGGTGCTTAGTGGTTGAAGATGGTTGAAGAGAGATTGTGTGTCGTGGTCCATTGGTGGGGAGCCAAAGGAAAGCGCTCTATATATTTATATTGATTATATTGGCAGCGAACACCTAAGGCCTATGTCAGCCTATATCACCTGAATTTTGAAACAAACCACGATGAAGCCCTTAAACCCTGGATTTCTTCCACCTTGACCGTGTGCTTTCCTTCGTCCTGGCGCAGATGGACTTTCCAGCTGATGCCGACGAGTGAAGTCCGCGCGGCAGGCGATCGGCGAGGAACAAACGCTTCGTCCGCGAAAAATGACGTGTTCGATGGGGAAAGCCCCCCTGTGGGATATCATGGGATCATGTTTCGTGTGAAAACCCGGACATTTGGTGATCTGTGATCTCTTAAGTTTACACTGTTAATTATTACATAAGAGGTATACCCCGACATGTTTCCTTCAGCACTGGAGTGACAAGATGAGGTGGTTTTAGTCCCATGCAGGGGTGGACAGTGGTGACAGGGGCACCCCTATCCCTTCCTATCCTCCGTTTGTTCGGCACTCCAACGCTCCTGGAGTACGTCACCACGTCCATCTCTTGACGTTTGATCATCTCCACGCTTCCAGGCTGTGGGGCCGGACGTGTTCAGCGGCCTGAAAAGCAGCCGAAAATGATGCGACATCGATGCGCCAATGAAGCAGGGAACCTATGGAAGGTCTGAGAATCTGTTGCAGTGGCATGAATTCGGTTGGAAAAAGGCAGGGCTAGATTGCTAGATCCCCTAGGCCCTAAGCAGATCAGGCGAGATGACCACAAAGTCTTATAGTGAGGCGAGTTGTAGAATTAATTGATCTTGATTACATCTTGATTAATTGTTTGTTTGATGGGATTTTCCGGACAAGGGGACATGTTGACATATGTTGACTCCATTGATAAGAAGGCACCCTGGTCCAATTTCTGTGACTTCGATCGTGTTCAAAAGCATTGGATATCCTCGTTTCACCCCCCAGTGGAGACCACAAAAAAAGACTTAAAGATCTTAAAGCTAGCGCCCTTTTTGTAAGTCGAACCAAATCCGGAGGTAGCGATTACACAAAGGCTGTGAGAGACAGGAGCGCCTCGTGTCTTCGGCTCACAGGAGCTCCCACGCGTGTTGCTGTCCGAGAAGAACTTTGAGCTTTGGATTGAGGACGACCGTTTTCGGGACCGTTTTCGGGGGTCCGTTCAAGTGGAGGACAGGTTTGGCCGGTAGTAGTAGTAGTAGTAGTAGTAGTAGTAGTAGGAGTAAGAGTAAGAGTAAGAGTAAGAGTAAGAGTAAGAGTAGTAGTA